GGTGTCCTTTCTCCTCAGCTTATATTCCTTGTCCGGAAGCAGCATGCCTTTGACAGGATGGTTTAATATATAAGCCCATGCTGAACTAGCCCTAGTTGTTTCAGTCCCACCATGTGCTGTGTTGATCTTTTCTCACCAGTCCAAGGCCCGGGCAATGGGGAGTTGACTTCAGTCTCCTTCAAGGTAAGGAAAGGTCACCAAGAACGTGTCCACACTTGTTACGGCCACCAGCATTATTCAGGTCCCATCTGGAAAGGCAGCAAAGCTATACCTGGAGTGAAAGTTTGCTGCTCCCAGCCCCTTCTCTTCTCCAGTCTCATTTGTGTGTATAAGCTCAGGGCATAATGATCAGTTTATGCTGGCTCTATCTGTGACTTTCAAAAAAAAAAAAATTCCATAGGACCAGCCAATGAGCTTCACATGTGTACGCTCTTATCTGCTGTCATCACTTCAACTTTCAGCTACTTTGCAAAGGCCAAGATAAGAGTTACTGCAGGAGCTTATTTAAGGTAGTTCTCTAAACTCACTAGACCACAGGAGAACAAAAGGGAATATTTCCAGTGGTTACTGCATGCTCGTTCCCTTCCTGTCCTCCATGGTAAAGCAGCATCCCTGCACAGGGCAGAATGGCCATTCTGTTCCACGCCAGAGGTGGTTTCATCTCTTGTTTAAACGTGAAGTGGCTAGATGTGCCGGCACAAGCTTGTCCACCTGGACCATAAACCCAAATGGAAACATATGTAAAATCAGAGGGGAGGAAGACCGGTGTCTGTTGGGGCTCTTGAGTAATAGTTTGGACAGCACACGAGAATCTTAGGGTCTAAAGGTTATTTCCAGTGAAGGAGGGCCCACATGACACAAGGGACTGGAAGATAAGGTACTTTCACTAGGCAGCTGCTGGTTCAAAGCCAGTCAGTAGCAACAGACACCTACAGCTGTTCAGTGGCTCGTGTGAGAAGTCTGTCCAGATCCTAGTATTCAAAGACAAGATTAAAAAAGACTCCTCACCAATATACTTGGCAATTACTGGTCCTGGAGAGTCGTAGCAAGGAGATATAAGGATGAGTGAGATGCGGAGTCCAACCAGAGAAGCTCTTACTATCCACTGCCCCATGCCGCAATCAGCTTCTTCTCACCTACAGCTTCAAGGTAAGAGGGAGAAGCAAGCTCTCAGCAAAAGCCCCAGGGGCTCTGAGTTGCCTTGTCAGCCATTTCAGGATTTTAGGGGTTCAATAATCTGTCAACAGAGCCATAAAGTATCAATGCATATTACAAACTGCTTGCTTGTTCCCAGACGAAAGCCTTGGTAGGAGGAAAGTGTCAGACTGTTTGAAAGACCCAACTGCCATAAAAAGAAAGAGCAGCTAGTACGGCCTTTCCTAAAACCCTGGCAGGCTGGGTTGAATGAGTTTATCACGCTCTCAACTCTCTCTATTACTAAGCAAGCACCATAAAATCCACCCAACTGGCAAATCAGCATGCAAAGAAGGTAATGAAAGCAGATGACGTGCATGCACACTGTTTTTTTATTATACACTTAAGGTACCTCTGACACAACATCACAGATCCAGCACCTTACTTCATCAAACACAAGAGGTTCAACCAGGTGATGTCCAAATTGTTCAGACTCTACTGTCTTTCCACTGCATGTGTGGACAGTGTCTAGTACAACAGAGCCCTGATCTCTGACTGGGTCCTCTATCCACTACCATGATGCAAAGAAATGTCTAAGGAATAAGGTGACTGGCAGCACTAACAGGAACACAAAGACGGACAGAAAATGCCGAAGGACAAGCTTTCAAACCCCTTTTTTGTTTACGCATGACTTCTCTTTGCTGCAGAGCAGGCATGGCTATGCTGCCAGGCTGCCCTCGCAATGCACCGTGATAACGGCACTAAGATCTCTTCATATTGTGGCTGCCTCTTTAAGCCATTGAAGGGGTCCATGTTTAAGACTATTTTTGGTTCAGTGCCACCTTGGGCCATGTGGGCCACAAGTACATAGGGAAGAAAGCCACGCTGGGGCACCGAGGAAGCTGTGAACTTCCCTTTTCACTCAGCAGAAGCAGAAAGAGACCTGGCTGGCATGTGACACAAAGGGAGGAAGACGCCAAACAGCAGTGAAGCTATCAGAGAAACAGTACATCCAAGCAGGGCACGTTCACTCACAAGGTTTCACTGCACCAGCAGCTGATGTGCTTGTCTTTCCACAAAGCAGCAGATTTCTTCCCTAACTATTGAGGGACTCAGCACAAGGAGGAAGGATATGATGGATTGCTATTTACACATAAACTAGTCAGTCATTTGTAACATCAGCTAGGTACAGGGCTTGCAGCACTCCTGCCTGAACCACTGGGGCCGTGGTGCTGTGGACTGCTCAACAACTCAGCAGAGGGCTGCATTTTTAAACATACTTTGCCCAAACCTACCTGTCTGCTCTGTAAAGCCATTGTGCACTTTGGGATGGCAAGATAAAAATGCCATTTATATCCAGCGTTAGCTATTAATGGACAGAAATTAAAAATGAAACCAAACCTTCTGTCTGTTAGACTGGTGCTAAAGGTGACAAAAAAAAAGTTTGATCCTTGATATTATAGCACAGTGCCCTTGTTCCTGTTCATGTAAGAGTGGATAGCGTGAGCTGCAGTTTACAGAACATTAAGGTGAGCTGAGGACACTGTGACCATCTTAATTGGTCATGGCCTCTGCGTTTACAGGCTTTACTGCTCTTACAGCTTAAGGTGGTCAATTAAGGGCTAATGATGAAGGGGAAAAATTTCAGTCCAGCAAAAACTGTCAGTGCAGACACAGGGCTTTCAGTGTCATCATATCAGATAATGAAGGGGCAGCATGACCCCATAGCTTGTTAATCAAATACACAAGGGAGGGAAAAAGCAATGCATAACTGAAAGAGAGTCACCTCTTAGCAATAATACATTTGAGAGTCCTATGGATATACACAGTAAGCATATGTTGACTAAAGGCAGTTCTTAGCTGCTAAGCAATTTTGCACTGCAAAGGCAAGCTTTGATTAAGACCATCACACAAAATGTATTTCCCTTGCGGGACAGAGACCCATACTGCCACCATTAGAAGTCCTTAAAAAGGAATATGAAGATGAACACGATGTGTATCAAGGTAGACACAGCACTAACAAGAGTGCTGGGCAATTCTAGCTCCTTATTTTGTCCAAAGGACTTGGAAATACCTCTGTGATGCTTGTGACACCCTGGCCTCATTTACACGAGATGCTACTGCACAGTAGCATCAGAAAAAACCCATGCGGGGACACTGCTGCGCAGTAATGCCGGTTACTGTGCTGTCACTTAGTACTTGGTTATGCAAGTACACAAGTACTTGGTTACACAAGTACTAAATGACTGCGCAGTAACAACTGCACACTCTCCTGCTTGTGTAGATGCAACCCCTGAGTCAGAACACGTTACAATGAGCTGGAAATGGGCAGGGACTTACTGTACATCACCTGCTCTGCATGTAACTGGGTGCCTGCTCCGACCCTGAGGGAAGTAAAGTTGAGCCAGGGCAGCTTAGCCTTGCTTCACTGAGGAGGCATAAGCTATCCTGATTTAGTCTGTGCTTACCACAGGGTAAGAGCATGTCGACAGGCTGTTACCCTAAAGCTTCTGATATATAGCAAATCCTCGCCCCCTTTTGTCCAGACCCTGAGTCTTCAAAGGAGGTGAAGGGCAATGCATTCGAGAGGCCCTGCCTTGTGACACTGTTCTAGCAGCAGCTGGGTGATAATGGTCTAGAACTGAGAAGGTGATATCCAAAATTGGGGAAGACTCTCCCACATCTGTCCAATCTCTGGTAAATCCTCCTTCGCTTGGCAAGGCCTATGCTCTGAATCCTGAGAATAATCCAAAACACCCATTGAGAAAGAGACTGTCTCCCTTACCTGAACATAATCCAAAACCATCCCGGCCAAGACCATGCCGAGGCCTGCTAACATGTAGGGCAGGAGCACCTGCAGACAAACGGCAACAGCTGATTCTTCGCGTAGTCTTGCCATAGCCACTTTCTCTTCGGCTGGCTGTTTTTGCTGCGAGACCAAAGGGACATCCTCTGCCTCCTGGCTGCCAAGTCGGCTGTCTCTGTGTTTACCCTTGTTCTTTGCTTTGTGCCTGGACTGCTCTCCATTTTTAGTCCTGCCCTCCTTTCTCCTCTGCCGAGCTTCCTCC